GTTTGTCGGTCAAAAACTTCTTATGAAGTCTTACAACCTCGTTGTAGTAAATTTCGTCTCATCGGTTCAGCCCAAGCAGCCTTCCCCTCTCCCCTTTTAAAGGAGGGATTTAAATACTACAGCGTGATGATGACCTCGAGCTATGCAAGAAGTGAGGGCTAATATCTCGAAATAAGAACCATGTAATTAATCATTTTCGGAGTTAATCCCGCCATAGCGGATCATCAAAACGATTGAATGAAAAGAACCGCTGTGAGCAACTTTTGGGAAACCCTGGAGAAACACTGATGTATGACAGCCCAAGTTTTGCCCGACCGTCGGATTTAGATAGATTATACAACCGCTGCTGGCCCAGCGAAACTGATTTTAACCTGCCCAGTTATTCCAAAATTATTGTGATAACTGCGAAAGCATGGGAACTTTTCCTTCCACTTTCACCAATTATAATGTTAAACTTATCAAATATACAACTAGAAAGGCGGATTATAAATTAATAAATAGCGGTGCGCACCAGGGCAGCGGATACGATCATGCGTTTTGTGCAATTCCGTTCACCGAAAGGTTGTCTACTAATGATTTTCACTGCTTCGTACTTTGGTCTGTGCAAAAATAGTTAAAATGTCTGGTTCCTAAGTCGCGGAATTTCCTAATAAAAATTTCACGCAAACGAAAATCGCACGTTTGTAGAAGGGATCAACCTAAAAGTTCAGATTCTCAACTTCCGCGGTCCCCGAGATAATAATTTACCCGCCAAAACTTTCACGGTGCCGTAGGTGATACCCGGAAGCGCGGGAACGCTAAACTTGAATAGGCAAGGCCGAATGTGGGCAGAGGGTCATTACCCTAAAACTTCAGCTTCCTAGAATTAGTGGTTCCCGATATAATTTGCCCGCCACAACTTTCACGGGGTGGTAAGTGGTACCCGGGAGCGCGGGAACGCTGAATTTGAATAGGTAAGGTCGAGCGTGGGTCATTAGCGAGGGTCATTACCCTAAAATTTCAGCTTCCTAGAATCAGTGGTTCCCGACATAATAATTTACTCGCCATAACTTTCACACGGCCGTACATGTTACCTGCAGACAAGGGAAGGTTGAATTTAAATTTTCTGGGTCGCATATGGTATGAGACATGCCCACAAAATTTCAGCCTTCTACCTTCCCGTGATAATAATTTTACCCTCCCAAACTTTTATGGGGCCGTACTTGTTACCCGCTGGTACGGGGAGGCTGAATTTAAATTTGCGTGGTCGTAGGTGGGTGGGGAACGTTCCCCTAAATTTTCAGCCTCTTAGCTTTCGTGGTTCCCTAGTTGAAAGTTGCAGACAAGTTGCTGCGGACACACATAAACACACACACAGACAACCCCTTAACGATATGCGTTTTGTACTGCTGTTACATAGCACAAAATGCATAAAAATAGAAAAAAAACCTCTCCCCAAACGCAGCATGTGGCAAAGCGGCAATGGAAGAACATTCCACAAACACAATCAAACTCACAATCACCGGGCAAAATGCAACCGCTGCTGGTTGCATCAGTGGTGAAAATAGAAAAAATTGGCCAACGCACGGGCTGCCCGTGCGAAGATGCGTTTTTTGCAGAGTTCCCTGCAG